AGAACAACGAGATGCCACTATGCACCTCTTAGAATGGTGAAGTCCAAAACACTGACAACATCAAATGCTGGAGAGGATGTGGAGCAACAGGAACTCTCAATCATTGCTGATGAGAATGCAAAATGGTGCAGCCACTCTGGAAGACAGCTTGGAGGTTTTTTATAAAACTAAACATAATCTCACATATGATCCAGTAATTATGCTCCTTGGTATTTATCCAAGGGAGCTGAAAACTTAAACTCATACAAATATCTAAACGTGGATGTTTAGAGCAGCTTTATTCATAATTGTCAAAACTCAGAAGCAACAAAGATGCCCTTCAGTAGGCAAATGGATAAACTGTAGCATACTGAGACAGTGGAAGCCAGTCTGAGAAGACTACACCCTGCATGAGTCCAACTATATGACAGTCTGAAAAAGGCAAAACTATGAAGACAGTAAACAGATCAGTGGTTGTCAGGAGTTAAGGAGGACAGAGAGGAACAGGCAAAGCACAGAGGATCTTTAGGGCAGTGAAACTATACTGTATGATACATGTGCATACACGTCACTATGTATTTGTCAAAACCCATAGACTATGTAACACCAAGAACCCCAAGTGCTTAATGAACTGTGATATAAATGCTGAACTTTTTGTGACAATGGTATGTCACTATATGTTCATTGATCATTGTGGAGTGTTGATAGTGGGGCAATCTGTGTATGTTGAGGGGTCAGAGAGTTTATGGAAAAATCTATACTTATGCTCAGTTTTTCTGTGAAAATAAAACTGATCTAAAAATAAAGTCTGTTGTTTAAAAATTTTCCTCTCTATAGAAAAATAATAAGCTTTTCAATGTACAAAGTTATGAAGTGGTATGTATATGTGTGTTTATATTAGTAAATTTCAAGAATTAGAAAAGTATCTGAAACATAGCAATTTTACATTAATCTTATGTGTAACTGTAAACACCTTTTAATATGAATATTTAAGTAAGTTTATGTAATATGAGACAATTTATATCCTTATCTTTTCTACATTTAAATAGATACTCCATTTAAAGTTTATCTTAATTTTGTTCAGCCTATTTTAACCAAGATAGTTTAAATTCCTTCCTACACATCATTTAATAACTTACAAATTAATATAAGTAGAATGGTTTTCCATGGTTGAATTTGATTCATATGTACATATTAAATCAACATACTTAAGTTTTGATATATTCCCTAGGCTACAAATAGAAAATATTTTTCTAGCAGTTTAAAAAAGATTTCAATTAGCAGTTACTGAATAGTCTGAGGAAAAATCAATTCTGGTATGCATTCTAATAAAATAATAGAAATGACACTACCATAAGAGCATTTAATTTGTATTCTTTGGATTTCTAAGAAGTCAGCTTATATTAAAATTAAACTAATAAAATTCTAATTATAAATGCTAAAAAGAGACAAATAATATTCTTCTAACATTCATTGTAAATAATTCTAATATTTAGATTTGAATATTTTTGTGTTGGCAGGAATTGGTACTTTTTACTGATGGATGGGGGTGGTGGATAAAAGTGTAATTTCACAGAGATAAGAACAAATTAAAGCCTTTGAAAAACTCATACTAGGCATAGCTGATAGAATCTGTAAGTTGAGCACTTGTGTACTCAGAACAGATGACTGTACTGTCAAACATGTAAAATGTAATTATCCCCATTTCCGTAGAGACTGGGAGAGGCACCACCAGCTACACAAGTGCAGCCATTTGAAAGTCAGAGATTCTGCATGGTTCCAGGACCCAAAAGGCCGGGTGGATTTTAACTGCCCGAGTCCAGAGTCAGCATGGCCCCAGAGGCAGCACATTCATGAGAAGGGGTGGTACAGATCCCACCAGGTGGGACCTCAAGTGTCTTGTTCTCAGTTTCTAGAGCAGGGACAGCAGAAGGGATTCATAACCAGTCTCCAAGAGCAGGAAGTGAGCTCAGGAGAATATTTCTTTCCCTTTCCTTACACCAATCTAATGCCAAATGTTGGTTAAGTATTGAAAAAGGAGTTCTATCAAAGCAAACAAACAAATAAAAATTCCTTACCCTCCTTCCTGGTGTTATTCGTGGATGTGGTTTCTTAATCTACATCAATGTTTATTTCTAAGCATCTATTCTTTTTTTCATTAATATTGCTATTTCTTTTTTACACATTGATATTTATTAAAGGGGTGGTAACCATTTAATACTTCTAAATCTTCATTTTGTTTTTACTCATTTTAATCCATTGTAATATGAATTCTCCATTTATTTGCTAAAATTTTTCTTTAATGTCACCAGTTGCCTCCACCTTAGGGCATCCCATGGGTGTGTTTTACGGTTTATATTGCTTTTACTCTGAAGCATTGAACGGGTCATAACACCCTCTTTCTTGAAAAGTCCTTTTCCCTTTAGCTTCCTTGTCAGTACTTTCCTGTACTTTTCCTGCTATTTCTCAGATACTCCTTTTTCCCCCTCCCTTTACAAGTTCTTTCTCTACCTGTAATTGGAGCAGTGATATCACCTGGAGTTTGTTATTCTATTTGTCTTTCGCTTTTCAAATAACCCTTAGATGAAGGTGCTGAACCCATGTATCAGTTGATTTTAAAACTGAGTTCTGAGGATAAGAAAATTAGGAAATAAAGGATAAAGGAGATATTGTCTGGGTGTACAAATCACTGTGTTCTTATCTCGCTGTGTAACTTTGAACAAGTTATTGACTCTCTGTGCCCGAGTTCTTCATCTATAGAATAGTAGTAATTTTACGGTCTTTCTTGTTGAATTGTGAGCAGAGTTAAATGATTTAATATGCATGAAGTTGATGGAACATAGGAAGCCTGCATTACATGTATCTGTTAAAACTAACAGCTGTACCTATTTATTACTAAAAAAAAACCTGACATTATTTTTAAATCTAAAAATCCTACAAAGTTTTGTATAATTTTATGACTGTTTATTGTGCATTTCCATAGACTATGAATGCCTTGACTACAGTCCTTTTATTTTTGTTTTCTTTGGATGTCCAGCAACCACCTCAATGTCTGGACTTGCCAGGAAACTTATAATTTGGGAAATGAACCATGTATTAGTAGAGAGTGTTACAATGATCATATTACTTGATTTGATCAGATTTAGAGTGTGACAACCCAAACTGTATCTCCTCCCCTGAAATTTCAAATATTGGTTAAAATATGTTCATCATTTAAATTCCGTTTCCCATGTTCTTATCCTCTCATCACTGATGGACCCAGGTCAGGTCCCCCAAACTCCATCCTTCTCCCCATCAGTCAAATATGAAAGGACATGCTGGTTCAAGGTCAAATACAGAAATCCCAGATAGGGCTGTGGGATGTCCTGTTCTGCTTTCCCCATTCTTTGATCACAGTTTCTCCCTCTTCTCAATGCAGACACACGCACGCACATATTTGAAGGCTCCTCTTTGGCAGTTTTCACCGACACCCAGATTGCTCCCTACCGCTCTGGACTTATCTCTCTCTCTTGTCAGTGATGTCCTTGCTATTATGGAAACATACCATTCTTCTTTACTGAGAACAGGATAATGCAAAATTGACTTAATTGGTGGCACAAAGTTTACATTTTGTGGTAAGAAAGAAGTTCTTGACAGGATTGCTAAACACTAAAATTGCCGAACAACAGTAGTTATTTCACAGTCTTAAAAAATAAGATAGTTTCCCATCGCTCTGGCAGAGATTGTTTTCCATCTTGTCTTGAAATTTAATGAGACTTCAAATATTGTTTTTCACCCGCATGCTTCTCAGATACATATTTAAAAATCTTCAGAAACCGTCTTTAAAATTGTAGATTCTGTTAAAGCCTCTTTGTCAAAATGAACCACAATTGTAATGTTAGCTTTTTCCTTAAAGTGTTGTAAAATTTCTTAGCTAATATAATACCTACTTTTTCATTTTGAAATTATATCCTGCACCTGTCTTTTCTGTAGTATGTTTTATATCAATTTACTATCTGTAGTATGCATTTCAATTCAATGCATCATTTATAAAGACATCAGCATGGAGACTACTGGAAGAAAAATTCTTCGTAAAATAATCATGTAACAATATTAGAGAAATTGCGGTTACTTTCGAGGATATTAAGCCAAACAGTTATTTCCATTATCTCTGCAGCTCCCAGGATTCTGCTGGTTATTTTATGGGAGATGCTGAAAATATGGAATGCATTGTTACTTCAATAAGCTCATACTTTTGTGGTGAAAGTGATATTTTCAAGGTTAAAACTTCAAGATAAAAAATGCAAACATACCGAAATTGACACAACGTTGTAAACTCATTATACTTCAAAAAAAAAAAAGCAAGCATACATCATGTTAAGCTCCAAGTGCTCTAAAGGAGAGAGAGAGAAATATCGGAAAAATTAGGTAAAGACTTTTGGAAGGATACAAATATGAGCTTAGCATCATTAAAAATAGAATCAAGAAAAAAATATAAACACACATACACACAACTTCTTCAAAAGAAATCCAAATCTAAAAAACTTACTTTCAGTGAAAAACTTGCTGTACTATTTTGGAGCCAGATATGTATGGGTTTAAGTGCAAAATCTAGCACCATCTAACCCTCTGCCCTGGGGCACTGTTTCATCTCCCTGAGCTTCCTGTTCAGAACCTATGAAATCATCACTATGGGAACACATAGTGTGGAGTTAAACTAAGAAAACGCATTTCAACACTGGAGCTAATTGAAGCTGTCATGTTTTCCTAAGTCCTTCACAGAACCAATGACGTTGGCACAGAGAAAACACACAGTATATACACTGTTATTAGATTCGGTACAAATGAAAAACGTCTACCCTCCCATGAAAATAGCCCATTCCTTTTTTCACCTTGTACAAGTGATAAAGTATGCAAAGTAGAAACATGACACTGATGTACAAAGTATGTTGTCTGCTAGATCTCTGCTTTAAACATTAATAAAATCCATGATTCCTTTTTGATGATATTGCTTTGAAAATAACATAGTTCTTTTGTTGCAGGAGATAACTGCAAGGCCACTGAATACAGCAAGATGAAAAGCATGCTTTTAGATTTACAAAATCGAAAATACGTTACCCAAGACAATGAAAACCCTAGCGGTGATGACGTATTCCGGAAGAAGTTGTTGGTGGATCAAATGTTTAAATATTTTGATGCCGACAGTAACGGACTTGTAGATATTAATGAACTAACTCAGGTATGATTAAATTAACATGCTTATTTAAGTAGAGCACATACAATATATTTACATTTGTTTGAATTTACTCTATATTGATAAAATATACGTTTTATTTATATTATTTAAGTGTAGACATAAAATATTTTACGAGAAAACATTGATTACTCTATCAGCTGTATTAATTTTAAATTACATTTATATGCTCTTGTACAGTTTAAGAGAGATGTCTACTTTTAATGTACCTTAAATATCTAAAGGAATGACTAGTTCTTTATCTTATAGGATTTATAAGATATTTCCAAATATTTTCTGGGGCTTCTGTAAAGTTTAATTTTCTATCAGTCAATAGAAACTTGTCTATCTGGTATTCAAGGGCAGTTGAGTATATCTATAACATAATATAAATATGTGATTTAAGAAGGTATTAAATCACTCACATATTTTAGTACTTTTTCAATAATCAAAGATCAATTATAATATATCAAATCTGGTTTTAATATGAAGTCCACATTATTCAATTTGTTTCTTTGAAATTTGTCACCAAAGGTTTTTTTTTAACATATTAAAAACTCATTATTCAAGAGAATATTTTAATAAACAAAAAATCTCTATGTGAGCCACTTTGGAAAAAAACAGAAAATTTTTATGTGTGTATTATTGAGATAGACAGACTCCTCTGAATGAAACTGTAATCCCCAGATTTAAGAATCTAAACTAGTTGTAGAAGTGTAAAATAAGGGACATAAGATTTGTCCAAAAACATACATAGGTTTTAGGGAGCAATGGAGAGAACTACCCAATCTTGGGGTGACTAGGAAGATGGTGGTAGCATGAGGAATTTTGCTAACTTCTTGATGATTTCCAAAATGTATCTTAAGATGGATTTTGCTGTCACGCTTAGCAGGGAATAGTATTTTCCAGAAAGACTCAGTCGTCTATTTCCACAACATCATGCCATTCAACCTTTATAACCAATTCTATCTCTTATTTAAAAAATCTAACAATATGGAATATTGGTCTTACTACACAAGTATTTCTACACTTTGGAATAGTGTAACTTAGTATGGAGGCTTCATATAACGTGACCTTGTGACAAAATTGAGTACAGTTTTTGTCAATCCAGTTAATGAAAATATTCATCATTTTCATTATCTTTTTTAATTCAACCTACATTTATTTAGTAGTTACTAAATCCCAGGCAATGGGATTTATGA